GTGGTTGTTGTTGTTGTTGTTGTCAGTTGTTGTCAGTTGTTGTTTTTGGTGGTTTGTCTTCGGGCGGTGGGGAGTAACCATTCGTCTGATCATAGAACAGCCTTTGCCATCGTCATCCTTCCTTTACAAGCATCGTTCGTACGAAGGATCATTAGTCAGAGTCCCAACAGATTGCAAGAGAATGCAGATTGAGTTGGGTCCTCGTGCTGCTCAATCGTAGGGTTGACAGCCTAGGAATTGAGAGTATCCAAGCAAAGCCACGAGTAGCTGCAAATCACAGTGAGACCGCCGGCCTAGTTCTCTCCTGGTGGTCTCGACGCTGTCGAGTCTAGTTCTCCTGAACATCTCCTGGTGTTGTTTTGGATGGTCGCACTTTTGTTGTTGCTCCTCGTGGTGTCCTGGTGGTGGTGGAGGTCCCCAAACCCCTAAACCCGAATAGGACTGGTCCAAGCTTTCCTGACGAGGATCCCAAGCAGCGACCGAGGGTGCCAAACTTCCTGGCTGTGGCCATGAAAGACCGCTGATGAGGTACGTACCCCCAAACCTAAATATCCCTAAACTCTGAGCCCGAAAAGCATCATTTCTGAAGCTGAACACCTCCGTAAACCCGAAACTCTAAGCCCTCAACCCCTTCCCCCAACCCCTTACCCCCAACACCCTGTAACCCTAAACCACTAAACCCTAGCAGCTGCGACTCGGTTCGAAAGGGCCATGCCATCCTCAAAGAGGCTTGGCACCTTCTCGAGTTGGACTCGCGGATTGTAGGAAGGCGTCAGATGTCCCTAAACCGATCCTAAACACCAACAGATCAGCTATCCCTGATTGCATTCCCCGAAGTGGACCTTCTACAGACCAGAAAGCCAGTCAGGGTTAATTACAGTTCGGAGCATATCATAACCTGACTCCTTGAGTCTAGCCGGTGGTAGATGGGAGTTTCTCTTCACGAGCGACCCCAGCAATGCACCTCAAGCCCAGCAGTTGGAGGCTTCCGAAAAGTGTCATTACGTACGGAGCCCTGCGCAACAGCGTTTACCAGACTAAACCCCGATATTATATCCTTTGCAAGACCTTGTAAAATCCTTGAAAGCCCTACAAGAACCCTAAACCTGCAAAACCCTAACCTCCTGGCTTGCGAGAAACTCCTGGAGGGCAGGCGAATAGCGCCCCCTTCACTTCGAGAGGATTTCGACGATCCGCTCGACCGAGGAAGCTACTGCAAGCCAAAACATGCTTTCAGGGTTTATAGGGCTTACGTAGGATGTAGTGTTTCGCGTTTTGGGTTTAGGGTTTCGGGGCGTTTGAATTGAAGCTTCAAAAGGAGTTGCTAGGGTGCTTTCAGAGAATCGGGAGACCTCAATATGGAGCCTATGCTACAAGTTCCTTCAGCTTTCGCAGAGTCTCATTCAGATGGTGGCCACCGTGGATTCTGTGCATACCCGGGGTTTCTTGCGTAACATCCGCCTTTTCAAACCTGACCCGTCCCGCCTTAAAGTAAGGCTAGGGGTTGCAAATCCTAACAACCCTAAACCCCTAAATCCTATACCCTGTGCCTTTAAGAGCCCCATAAACTTAGAACCAGTCGATCACAAAGTCAAAATGCCTTCTTGCTCCGTCCGAGCTTCAGCATAGCAACATGCCCAAACACTGCAGCTTCGACTTCCAAAAACCATGATCTTTTTTACTGTTTAGAGGCGAAGGTCTTGGAGACAGACGGTGTTGAGGCCGTTAGAGTGTACGATTGGATCAGGTTTCAGGACCTTGTCGGGGTCAAGGTTAGGTTTTTTTTTGTTTTTATGAGATTTTGGGTCTAGGGTTTAGGGTTCAGGGATCTCGTTCTACTTGCATTCTCCTCTGCCAGCGATCGTTCGCCATGGCGAAGCTTTGGCAAGGCACGTGTTCAGAACGCCCGAAGAGGCAATATGGATGGATGTAGGGTTTAGGATGAGGAACCATATTTCCTTATGAGGCCGCTTCATTACAATTGTTGACTAGTTTGACGTGTCCACTGTAGTAGCCCAGTATATGTTAGTACGGCCCCTACAATAATCTGCGAAGAAGTTAGTGGGGCCCAGAGCAGACCCAATCCCAGTCATCCCGAAGGTTGGGCAGCATGCCAGGCCTCAGGTCAGGACCACTTCGGGCTAGGGGCCTTCATGATTACTAAGTACCAAATAGATAGCATTCCGTAGCTTAGGGTTTCGGGTTTAGAGAGTAGAGTTTAGGGTTTAGGGTTTCTTAAACCGACACCCTGAAAGTCGCATTCATAGGGGCCGGAACAACAGCCAATACTGTCCCTGCGGCTTCCTCGCTATGACTATCCTATAACATACCAAATACGCACTTAATTTCATCATTAAGGCCCTTCAATACCTAAACTTAATTTAAGTTCTTATGGACGCCTTTAAAGGAGCCCCCACATTAAGCCCTAAACCTGTTGAATTTGTTTACCAACATTCGTTGTAATTATGCCACACGAGCCGCGCGTCAGCGAGGCATTGGGTCGGAAATGAATAGCGAAAAAAGCACGCAAAGGACTCTGCGCTGCTCCTCAAACTATTTTATCCCGTAAAGGGAACAACAACCGTGGAAGGCTTCACCCGTTTCGCAAGAGGTAACTGAGGTAACTCCGAAAATTGCTCGGCAACGGTCAAGCAAGCAACCCTGATGCGATCCTTCTCTGCTCGCGGCAAACCCATGAAGTGCCTTGAACCCTCGACCGATCGACATGAGGTGGCAGAAGCCAGTGACTACAGGGCGCACAATGCCACGATGCTTCTATACATGTAGGACACAATCGCGAAATCTCTGCAACAATACACCCACAGTCTTGTTAACATAAACTACCCTAAACCCTAAACCCTAAACCCTAAACCCTAAGCCAACCCTGCACTAATCGGCAAAGCTCCGGAGCTTCGAGGCTCGGGAGGCGGCCTCCATCCACTGGTCGAGGCCTACACTGCGGGAGCCTTGGATTTCGGAGAGTCCTGTCAGTGTGCATTTTTTCAGTTGAAGGCAAGTCTAAGTTCAACCAAAGACTGTCTTTGGGAAAAAAATCAGTTCAGTTGGGGGTCTAGTTTGGGTTTACTAACCCTGCCCTCGAGCATTTCATCCTGGAATCCCATAAGCAGCAAATCACGAAAGGGTAAGGAGGCTCGAGCTAATAAACACCCTGATTCCCAGCTGCCCTCAGCCAAGAACTACGAGGATTTGTGGCTCTGAGCGAACTTACGACGGGACACCACCACGACAACACAATGCCAACAGCGGTTCATGACCCAAGAGCCTTGCAGAAGCTCTTCAGCTTTTGGAGCTGGAATCCGTCCCCGGCAAGAGCGAGGAGGTCGAAGCAGCGTTCCGGAAGATGGCTTTGGTTTATCACCCGGACAAAGGTGGCGATCCAGAAAGATGGCTCCGGACAGAATCAGCGACAGAGCCACGCTGCGAGAATCGCATAAGAAAGCAACTAGCTCAGCCATGGGCCCTGAAGACCGTCACGTATGCAGAACAATCAGACGAGCAACCATCGGTTCCGAAGCATGGAAACTCGCAAGGGTCACACATATTTTCCGTGTGTGTATATATATATACACACACACACACACATATATAGACATACATATATATATATATACATATATATACACACAAAAATTACAAAGTACATATCCACACACCACCCACTCACACACACGTGCATACATACATACGTACATACATACATACAGACAGACAGACATATGCCGCTAAGAGACCCAAGCCGAAGGCTCTGAAAAGCTGACTAAGCCCCTAAACCCTAAACCCTATACACTAGACTCTAAACCCTAAACCCCAAACCCCTGAACCCCCCTTTGAGGTGGGCGAAGACTACCGGTTCGATGGCGAGTATCTTTTGCCTTACGACCTCAAGGTCCCTGGTTTAGGGTTTAGGGTTTCAGGTATAGCGTACAGGGTTTAGGGTATAGGGTTTAGGGTTTAGAGTTCAGGGCTTAGGGTATAGGGTCTCGGGTTTAGAGTTTAGGGTTTAGGGTTTAAGGCTCCGGAACTTGTAGAACCTCCTATCTAATTCAGAGAAGATCTGGAAAGACCAACCGGTAAGCCTAGACCCTAATCCCCAACAGGGTAGCGGGGTTGAGAGTTCGGGGTCAAGAGACTCAAAGTGATAAATTTTGGCTACAGGTTTTAGGGTTTAGGAGGTGTTGGGTTTGGGTGTTGAGTGTGTTCCGTGGTCTTTTAGGTCGACTAGGCTCCACCATAAGCTTGTGCCCCGTATTCTGAAGAGTCCTCTGTGATATCTGATGGAGTTGGGTCTGTGGTGATGGGTGAAGAATCTGAAGAAGACGAAAGGTGTGCCGAACCCGGGGCAGATCTGGAGATGAGGGCAAAAGTGAGCAAACCTTGCCTTGTCGGGCGGATTGAAGGCTCCAGGCCAGGATTTTCGAGCTAGAAAGGGCCTACTGCAACCAGGAAAGAGACTGCAGAATCATTGTCGCTACCACTTCGGGGCCTAGGAGCAAGGGCCTGTATAGTTTGATGACTTTTTTTCACGGGCCGTTGCCACTGTTATCTTGTACTCAACTTCCCTCGTCCCCGCCATGCGGGCAAATGTGCACCTTACAGTCTTGGCCTACCCTAGTCCATCGGACCAAGCAATCATCCCAAGTCTTGCACCAACGAAGTGCAAGATGTAATTACGAACGGCTTGACGCAGGACAGGCCCTAGCAAAACACACCAAAGCGAATAAGTCACGCCTTGTTCAAACGGGGGGTTGACACGCAGCTTAAACGCTGCTCGCAGGGATGGCAGGGTTGTCCGAAGAATCCTGTATCATACTGTCGTCGTTGCAGCAGCTGCTGCGAGAACTTCTACTCTGAAGGAATATGGCGTACGATTACGACTCATGTGTATCGTAGTGATGATAATGACAGGATCCTTTATGAGACCATTTCTTATCCGTTACATTTCCCATCGCGTGAAATGGTCGCAGTACGCCCGGCATAACAGAAAGCTGTTGCTAGGCATACTACCACTCAATAGTGCATGACGCTTAAGACCATTAATAATATATAAGCCTAAATAATTCCAAATTTTATTTTTTAGGGTTCCTTGTTATATGTATACTATACGGAGCCCAATTCCCTGTTCTAAGTATTCAGGCCCCTACATTATCTGTGCTTCAGGCCAGCGAAGCCCACGCCACCATGTCGCTCGTATGAATTGGGGTGGAGGGAAATGGAAGTCGCGCCGGTAAAGGTGAGACTGTTAGCGTTTGCCTGACGAAGCCCGAAAATCCCTGAGTTTAGAACTCTAAACCCCGAATGTCCTAACGACATCATGAAGTATTCCTACGCCCTAATCGAAACTCTAAGTATCCTACACCACAACTGAAGCCTAAATGTGCTAAACCCAAGCCCCTTCATCCTGGCAGCCCTAATGCACAGCAGCGGGGAGTAAGAGAGAAGAAGAGACAGAGAGAGAGAGAGAGAGAGAGTTTAGGGTTTATAGGGGTTTAGGGTAATTTCGGCT